CTGACTGAGATTACCTGTTCATTTTTAATTGATATATATTTATATATCAATTAAAAATGAAGTTTTTTAACCATTTTTTATTTAAGATTTAAACTTTGTGACTATTAACATGAACAGTTAACTTTGTTTGGGTCAGCAATACATAAGGAAACACGTCTTCATAGTTATGAGATAAGAATCCAATAATTAGTAAGTTAGAATGAAAATAAAACAGATTCTGATTACATAGGTTCTGATAATGAGGTGCTGTCCTTATGTAGCCACATGACTAACTTTGGTCAAGTTTATCCACCAGTCACAAACATTCATAACTTTCAAATCAATCTTTTATATTTTTTCTGTATCAGCATCAGTACCTCTAATGAATAAAGTGTAATTACATATTTAAGCAAACGATTTATATTCAACAAATTTGTCTAGTTAAGTTTTTTAAACTGGCAGGACTTTAACTAATAGCTGAGTAGAAATAAGTTAAAATTTACCTATTTTTGTAACAACAATGCAAAAATAGTTCTTTGTATAAATGAAAAGTAATTTTTTCAAATTCTGTTATTTTTTTCTAATTAGTTAAATGATGTTTTATAAATTACAAGTCTAAAATGTCTGGAATCAAATAAAATTATTTGGGTCTGATTTAGTCGTTAAAGTCAGCATCTTCTGTAATTTTAATCAGATGTATTTAGGTAATTAAAGGTTTTTTTATTTAGAAACTTTTTTATATATTGAAAAGATGCTAGATGTTATATAAATATTTTTGGTCAGTTTGTTTTTGCATTGACATTTTTACAGTGACCAGTTTCCTGCCAAATAGTGATCGTACTTTACTTTTCATCAATCCTGGTTAGCTTCTTTTGTTCAGTTGTATTTTGAACATTTTTCATTTTTAAGAGAGTGTGACAAGTGAAACAAAGTACACAGAGCAGCCAGGACAATAGAAGAATCACAAGACATTTGTAATTTAAAACAACTGATCATGAAACTTGAAACTGCAAAAGTTTAAATAAGTCTCTCCATGAACCAGAACCTAACTTTAAAGCACTTATTGCAAAGGTATTTTTGTTGTAAAGCTAAAACAGAAAATATTTAGTAAATTAAAAAAGAAGCCAAAACTCTAACCAGAAAAAAGACTGAATAGTAAAAAAAAAAACGTTTCAAAAAACAACTATTATTTGTCATTTTCCAGGAAAAGAAGATATACTGTAATGCACTAAACTTGTCAATACCTGAAATTTACTTGTTTTGTTAAAACATTYTGCTGACATAATGACATAATTCTACTTTACAGTCTTTTTTGTCAACTTATGTTGTATTTGAGTTATTTAGGAAATATTCTGAACTTTTGTTTGACAAAATTAATYAAATTGGATCAATTGACATGTTGGTACACTTAGATTAAAGAACATTGTAATACATGAATAAAATGAGCTGGCAGTTTTAATTTGAGGTATAATTAAAGGCTCCTAGTTTGCTTGTTTTTTTCTTCTTTCACTAACGCTGTAYATGTTCAATTCTAACAATGTGAGTCATGTTTTGGTTTTAAATCTCTATATTTTGTTCATTTTTCTGGTTATCCTCCCTCTTCTTTCCAGGACTTTGCTGTGAAGCCACTTCCTCCTGTCTTTCSTTCCTCCTCCTCCTCCTTGCTCCTCTGGAAATGTTACCCTTTCATCCTTCATCTCTCTTCATCCGCTATTCTCCTCCTCACCTCCTGTCGCTCTCCATCCCTCTGCTGAGCACAGGTATTTGTTTAGGAATCTCTCGGTGGAAATTACGCTCCATCTCCGGCGCTCCCTATCAACACACAATTATCATGGGCAATCATGCAGAACACTGCTGAATTCAGCTGGGACTCCCACTCTGATGACATTACTGACTGCAAGGCCCGGCTTCTGCAGGAGCTCCACACCTGCACCCATACCTCCACCCATTTCTCCTCTTCCCCCTCCTCCTAATCACACACTTACACTCAGATATGGATTGAGAAATGATTAAACTTTCTTTTTTCTTTAAATCAGGAAGATAAGAAC